GTTGCATTTTAAATGCTATTGAGCATGGTTTGAAAAGACAGTTTGTATGGAATGCATGCTCAGCAGGATGGGTAATTGTAAATGTGTTGTTTAATCAATAGTATTGGCCATTCTTTTTTTAAGAATGCTAATTCATTGCACCAAAAACAAAGAATGGGAATAATTTGTCTCCAACAACATTAATGTAATGTAACAATGATAACTAGATACATATAAATCTATTAATCCTCTCATTAAGTAAATAAATGTAATTATCTGAGGAAAAGTTAGTTTCTCAGCCTTTAGAATTGGAAATTATTTTAAAAATTAAGCATATCTAATATATGTAACTGAACATTTTTACGTTAATGGGTCAATAAAAAGAAAACAGAAAAATACTGAAATTGAAGACTGTCTTGTCTCTCCAAACTATTACTAATTTTATACCTAATTAAAAGATGGCTGATCAGAAGATGGTTTTTATGGATCGTGTGCTGTTTTATCACTATGATACTAATGTCTTATATACCTCAGGCAATTACCATTTTAAAAAGAGCTAGTATGACAAACATGTTGACCTTCCCAACAAAATGTCAAAGCGAGATCAGATAGGTAAGGAGGTTACCTAAAACCACATGACTTATTTACAAGTTGAGCTGATTTCTTGGAATGAGCAACCTTTCATTATAATATACTGTGCTATATTCAAATAAACTATGAAAAACGCTTAAATAAGGCAGATTTTTTTTAAGAATTATTTTTATTTAATTTTTATTTATTTATTTATGTAATCTCACCAGAGAGGGACAGAGTAAGAGACACAGAGAGAGAAAAAGAGAGAGAGAAAGAAAGGAAGCCACCAGGTCCAACACTCAAACCATGGTCGTCCATGTGAGAGTCCAGTACCCTTAACCACCACACCAACTGCTGGTCCCATGGCAGATTGTTTCTAAAGGAGTTTTTAACATATGTTTAATATATTGAATGGCTTATATACTTAGAACTCAAAAATATTATTCGAAAACGTTTATAACTCTAGCCTTCTTATTTGTACAATATCTTTCAGTTTCTAACATGCTTTCTCATATTAAATTCTCAAAAATTAAAATGCCTAGTTAAATAGTGCAATTGTTTCTATGGGTATAATTATTAATTTAACTTCACTTAATAAACAATATTATCCTGTAATGTAAGTAATGGATAAATTTCTTATTTTACCAGCCATACACTTTTCTTTCTGAGAAGTTCTTCTTCCCCTCTTTGAAAAATTCTTTTCTACCAGTCTGTCATTTGACTAATATGGGAAACGTCAATTTCTTTAGTGAAAATGACCCTCTGATCTCAACCATCAGTTAAATATGAACACTGGATCCAAACAGGGGCATTCTTGGTTCTTGACAGCCAAAGCCAAAGGGATGAGGACGTAGCTCAAGGCAGTTCTTTTTCAGAAATTTTCTAGTGAGAGCTGAATAAAGACAATCCCTTGTCCTGAACTTATCAGGGTAACAAACCAGCCTACCATCAAGTTAATCTTACACAAAAAAGCAAGTATAAAATAGTAAAGCCAACATGTATTAGATTGTCAGGAGAGTCATGGAATATTTTTCTGGTTTTCTTTTTTAAACGTAAAAATGCATCAGGTCTTTTCTGACAACCGAATAGATAAGCAAAACTTATAGTTGGAGAGATTATCTTGCTACTTTTGGTTTGCTTTACCTCTAAGACCAGCAACTCTCATGCCTTTGAAAGTTACAGTGTTATAAATATTCACTATCAAAATTCCACCCCACTCCCAATCCCACATACACACACACCGAAATTTTTAATTTAATTAAATTAATTTTAATTTAATTTTGTTTTTAATTTAAATTTCATTCCCTGGGGACCTGAAGGTGGCATGGTGGTTATGGTGCTGGACACTCCCACATGACTAACCATGTTTCAAGTTGCAGACCTGGTGTCTCTCTCTCTCTCTCTCTCTCTCTATGTGTGTGTGTGTGTGTGTGTGTGTCTATCTGATCACACTAAAAATAAATGGATGAATAAATAAAACTCAATAAATATAAATTGAGGTCCTTTTACTTTCCACTATTGGGTTTGTACATTCAAATAGATCACTTTCCTTTAAACGCAAATAGGGATCCAGTTTTACTCAACCTTCATGTCTTAGCATCCTAACACATTATTTCAGTTCTCAAGGATAATTTTCAGCCCAAAATGGCTGGTGGGGGTATCAAAGTCCACCAAA